AATTGTGCCCACATATCTATTCAGGGGACACCATCACAGGGCCTAATAACATCAGCCACACTATCAGAGGCTCGTTCACCTGCACATCCACCAATGTGATATATGCCATCATGTGCCAGCAATGCCCCTCTGCCATGTACATTGGTCAAACTGGACAGTCTCTACGTAAAAGAATAAATGGACACAAATCAGATGTCAAGAATTATAACATTCATAAACCAGTCGGAGAACACTTCAATCTCTCTGGTCACGCAATCACAGACATGAAGGTCGCTATCTTAAAACAAAAAAACTTCAAATCCAGACTCCAGCGAGAAACTGCTGAATTGGAATTCATTTGCAAATTGGATACTATTAATTTAGGCTTAAATAGAGACTGGGAGTGGCTAAGTCATTATGCAAGGTAGCCTGTTTCCTCTTTTTTTTTCCTACCCCCCCCCCCCAGATGTTCTGGTTTAACTTGGATTTAAACTTGGAGAGTGGTCAGTTTAGATGAGCTATTACCAGCAGGAGAGTGAGTTTGTGTGTGTATGGGGGTGGGGGGGATGTGAGAAAACCTTGATCTATGCAGGAAATAGCCCGACTTGATTATGTAAAGAGTTGTCACTTTGGATGGGCTAGCACCAGCAGGAGAGTGAATTTGTGTGGGGGGGTGGAGGGTGAGAAAACCTGGATTTGTGCTGGAAATGGCCCACCTGTTGATCACTTTAGATAAGCTATTACCAACAGGACAGTGGGGTGGGAGGAGGTATTGTTTCATATTCTCTGTGTGTATATAAAGTCTGCTGCAGTTTCCACGGTAAACGTCTGATGAAGTGAGCTGTAGCTCACGAAAGCTCATGCTCAAATAAATTGGTTAGTCTCTAAGGTGCCACAAGTACTCCTTTTCTTTTTGCAGTGAAGTAGTCTCTGGAATTTAGTGTGAACCAAGATGTTCATCTCATGAATTAGTGAGACAGAAGACTACAGGAACGGAAACAATTTCCGTGTGGCCATTGTGCCCAAACTATGCACACTGAGAAGGATTGCTGGCCATGCCAGTTTATTTGCAGAAAGTGCCAGAAGAAAAGAGACATTGCCATGACCTGTTGCTCAGCTCAGCAACCAACACAGAGTAACCATCCATCCAAGAAGACACCTATGAAGAGTGAACCTAAGAAAAGATGGAATTTGGGAATTCATAATGTGGAAAAAGATTAGCTCTAGTGACAGTGACCGAGACCTAGCATTACATGTGTTATCAGAAGCTGGAGTCAGCGATGGCATCTGGGTCATACCTTTGATCAAAGGAGTTCATACAAGAATGGAGCATGATATTGGAGCTGCCATCTCACTGATTTCTGTATTTACCTATCACCAGACTTTGTCACTAGTTCCTCTGGAATAAACTTACACAGTTCTGAAGACTTATACTGGAGAAAAGTTTGGTCCCAAAAGGGATACTCCAGGTGAAGTTTCAACTAGGTGGACAATCAGTTGTTTTACACTTACAATATGTGATTGAAGGAAAGTATCCACAATTATTTGGTAGATCTTGGCTTGAGACACACTCAATGTGAGTTGGACTGAGATCAAGGCGATCATGAAAGCATCTCAAAATCTTCAGGAAATACTTGACAGTCATTCTAAAGTTTTTGAAAAAGAACTTGTACAGATGAGCAACAAGTCAGTGAAGCTCACTGTTAAGTGTGACAGCCAGCCAAAATATTGCCAGTGCAGAGTTGTGCCTTATGCTCTGAAGCCTCTGGTGGAGGCTAATTTGGACCGTTGAGTGAACATTGGCATCTTGTCACTGGTTTCACACAGTGAGTGGGCTACACCCATTATACCAGTGATCAAGGATGGCTAAGGTCAAATTTGTGGAGATTTCAAAGTGATGCTGAATCCAGCTTTATGTGGAGACCAGTATCCACTACCTCCTATTGAAGATTTGTTTGCTACCCTTAGTGGAAGATGTTGTTTCAATAATTTGGATTTGCTCAACGCATACCTACAAATAGAGATTGATGCAGCGTCTCACAATCAACACACATAAAGGTTTATTTTGTTACAACAAGTGGCTTTCTGGTATCACATCAAAACCTGCCCTGTTCCAGAAAGCCATGGATGAGATCCTGAAGGGACTGAATGGCATACAATGTTATTTGGACAATGTCCTTGTTACCGGAAATGATCAAGAGTGCTTTTTTCAATTTATATTTGGCAACATTTTCTTTTGCATTCAGACCTGTCACAGTCTTTTTTGTAGAGACACAGGAAACCATGGCAGTCACTTCTAGAACAGATCACTGCAATGTGCTCTGTACAACTACTCCTGAGAACTACTTAGAACGTTCATCTGGTACAGAATGACTGCCTATTTACTTCTCATTGGAAGCATGCTATGCTTGTGTTCCACAGATTGCACTGGCTTCGAGTTTGTTTCCGAGTGACCTAGCCCTAAATGTTTAGGTCCTGGCTTCCCGTCTCCCTGTAGGATACCTCAGCACTTAAGATGCTAGACACACATCCTCCTGGTCAAACAGGACAGGGCTAGTGACAGGACATTTTCAGTTAAAAGCGTTTTACACTAGAATTTACTACCACCACCATTCTGATCCAGCGGAGCCAAACCATTGACCTTCAGGCAAGCTAGGAGGCTTATCTATTTCTCTAGGCCTTTATGAGGGGGTGGTTAAGTGGGTGAGAGTGGATTGGAAGGAGAAGAGTTGTGGTCCTAAAGGGCTGGGTAGGTATTAATGTGACATTCTTTAATATGTATGTTTATGTTATGTAGGCACTTAGAGCAATGAATAGGGGATTTAACAATACATACATAAAGTCTCTAAGCCAAGACCACATGTCTGGGTTGCAAATGCTGTAGGGGAATTAAAAAAAAACAACTACTTCCATTGGAATTTAAATAACCAGAACATATCATGAGCATTTTTTAGATTGTTCTTACAAAAAATCTTGTTTTTATAAGCCTAGATTTTTGGAGTCAATCTGATTTGACCTGTCCCTTTCAAAGGTGACATGTTAAAGGATTTTTTAAAAATTATTTTGCATTTTTCTTGCCACTTTATGATGCATAAGGATGGCCTGAAACTGCTTGCTTCATATGTAACCAGTATTGGGGATGGTCTTCTCTAATTTAGCTGAAGGACCTGCTTGCTGTCTGTAAGCACATTAGTGAACTTTTTGCACCTTAATTGAAAGGGTGGAGGTGTGAATATTTAGCAAAGATATCCTCCGTCCAGAATGCTAAGTTTACTTTTGTGACAATGTAGCCCTCTGTCCACACCCTACACACTATTATAATAAATGTTGAACAAACTATGCCTTGAGAGGTATCACCTAAAAACTCATAATTTGCTGGTCAGTGTTGTCCTGATAAAATGTGTGGCAATATTGTATGTGAAGTTATAATATTTCTCTGTATAATGTTGTTAACACATGTTCCAAACCACAGCAGAAGTTAGCAAACAGGTCTGTCTCAAACAAAGGAATGTGTGCGCTACTTAATTTGCATTTAAGTAGTAAACAGAGTCATCAAGCAGGAAGGGTAGACGAAACTCCAAACAGGTGAGGAAAAGCAGCAGGGAACATCCTTCTCTGTAGACTTTTTGTCTCCAGAATCTCCGCTGGAAATGGTTTCCAAGAGGGGGACTGACAATATAAAAAGGAGAGACAGACACCCCAACGCACCCCTCCTCTCTGTCCATCAATTCATGTTCCAGAGGTGACAAAGAAGCACCTATTGAACTGGAAAAGGGGTCCTGGCCTAAGCAGTTTGGTCAGTAAGACTGCTGAGAGTATGTGGTGAGAAAAACTTTGCTTTGAATTTAACATAGTTTATGTTAAGCACCAGTTGCACTTTACCTTTATTTTTCTTGTAACCGTTTCTGACTTTTATGCCTCATTACTTGCACTCACTTAAAATCTCACTTTGTAGTTAATAAACTTTTGCTTGTTCTAATCTAGTGTGTTTAAGTTGAAGTGTCTGGGAAACTCTATTTGGGCTAACAAGGTGGCGTGTGCATATTATTTCTATTAAAGAAATGTGGACTTTATATGAATTTGTACTGCTTAGGAGAGGGCTGGGTAATTCAAGACATACATTTCTGGGAGGAAATCTGGGACTGGGAGTGTGTAGGGGTCACCTTGCAGTATGACCAAGGCTGATAAGAACAAAGGTGTGGTTGGCTGGCTGCAGCACACACAGATGTAGCTGGGAGTGACTTGCATGCTGGAAGCTGGTTGTGAGCAGTCCAGGGAAGAGGCAACAGCAGTAAAGCATTATAAAGGGCACCCTAGGTTGGAGGACAGGGTGACATAGCTGCTCATTAGTCTGGATTGTCACTGGGTATTGGAATAGGTGTTAGTTTAAAATCTGTTGGTTTTGTTTTGTCTAAAAATCCCTTTCCTTCCTAGTTGTTTGGTTTTTGGAGGGGAGAGGTTTTTTTGCAGGGGAGGTTGAGGGTTTTTTTTCTTTCTTTCAGTCTTTTTTACTCTTATGGTATGGTCATTTCCTTAGTTCTCCAGTTCACAATAGGGAATTCTACCAACGCTTAAATGACATGGCAGTAAAAACCCCAGAAGCCACTGGAGCCTTGTCTAAAAGAGAGACCCCACCACCAGAGCAGCTGAACTGGTGGTGCTATCAGTGGGAAATTTTTTTACTACAATTCCCTAGTGCAGAAAGGCTTTCAGGGTAGATCAGCCTAAATTTCTAATGTAAAAATGAGCAGAAGGATTTTTTTAAAACCTTTCAGTTCTTTATACATCATAAAGAAGCAAAAGGTACAAGCCCAAATATTTTTTCTGTGGTAGGTTGCCTTTAAGAAGGAAGTTGAAAATTTTTTGTGTTATTCCTCTCTTCCAGAGAAACTATACTTTAAATTTGGGAGGCATTATAGTAAACAATTTTAATGACAGGAGATTATTCTGTTGGGCTGTGACTTGTACAGAGGTCTTTCATGCTCTGCCTGTATTTTTTTTCTCCTTGTCTTTTTAATCAGACCTCTTGTATGGAGCTGCCAGAGGAGCTGCATCAGCTGGCAGATTTCCAAAAGTTGCGAAGAGAGACAGCATTAAAAAAGTACAAGGTAAATGAGGAGGGTCTCTTGATCAGACCACCTCTGGAATCCAAAGGAAAGAAGGCAGTGGAGGTGGAAGAAAAACAAGGAGAGGATAGTGGTTGGCTTTCTTCTAATGGAGCAGCCTTACAAAAGACATCCTTCCATCCCCAAGATCCACTTCATCAAAATTATGATGAGCAAAAGCAAGTGGTAGATCACTGGGAAAATAAAAAGTCTATAATTGGCTGTAAAAATCCACCCTTGGAAATGGAGGCAGGAGCAAGAGACTTGATCAGCTGGAACTCTGTATCAGAGAACAACAAAGCAACGGGGAAGGGATTCTCTCCAATGCAGAAACCTCACACACAGGCTGCTCGATCTTTAAAAGAAGAGATAAGTCTATTGTTCATGGGAAACAAGGATGAAGACTTACTTTGTGCAAAGCAAAGCGCCATTGTGTCTGCCTATACCCCTCCAAAAATTAGCCGTTCTTTTCAAGATTCATTCCAGGTTCCACGGCAGCCCTCGCTTTCTGTACTGCCTCCTTGCCCAGTCCTAGAGACTCTTGGTTTGTGGCAGAACCCATCTTCGAAGATGACCCAGACCCACATTTCCCATTTCCCAGTAAGGCCAGAAGGGGAAAGGAATTCCGCTGTTCGCTTTGCCTTCCCTTCAGGTCTCAGCTCCCGGATGCCGGCACCAAGCCCTGCAGGAAAATAGCAGAATTATTTTTATTACTCTTTCAAAAAAAGAAAATATAATTGTCTCCACTGTCCTGTCTGTACAAGTGTCTTCGAGAATTTTTAGGTATTGGAGAAAAATATTTCATTTCTATGTTCCCCACTGGTTGAAATAGTTCTACAGAACTTTCACCCAGTTCTAGCAAAGTTTTTGTAGTGCAGACGAGGCCCTACTGTGGATATAGCTTGCTGGTATAGTTTATATCAGTTCCCTGAACAAAATAAGCTATAATAGCAAAAGCACTCTTGCGCAGGTATAACTGCATTTTACATAGGACTTTTGCTGGTATAAAAAAATCACATCCCTAAATGACATTACTATATCTGCAAAAGTTTCTAGTGTAGACCTGGCCTCAGTGTGACAACACTAATGTAGATTCAGCTCCATCATTTTCACAAACTGCTAAAGTAACTGAGCTGTGTAGCATGGGATTGTTCAAGATTGTCCATGATTTGGTAAATACATATATTTAAGTATTGCATGGTCAGCACTTTTGATATTTTGGAAAAGAAAATCACCTCATTCTGTTGGGAGTGGGGGGAGAAATGAGAAGGTTGTGTTGTGAAGTTTTGTGGCTGGTTGTCTCCAGTAAGATTTCACTGAGCACTAACAGTGTACATAACAGGAAGGAGGTGTGGTTCTCTGTCCCAAGAAGATTGCAATCTTTGGTCCCCTCATTCTTAGATTGCAGAGTTACATTCATGAAATGTGAGTCTGTTTCACTATCATATGGAATCCAGGGTTGGTGCTTTTGAATGTATAAAAATACTTGTTTGAGTTGTGTTGACTGGGACACAAACTGTTGAGTCATTGATTTCCAGTTGTCAGCCTGTGATGTATATGTGCATTTTTGAAGTATTATTGCCAGGGAAAACAAACTCCATATATTTTTACAAACAATACTAAACTAGCAGTTCCCAAATAGGACTTTCTTTTGGTACTGGCTTACTTTTTTTCATTGTTGTGTGGAAGGTGTTTCAGAGGTGGATTATGCTCCCTATATCAGTGCATTTTGGGGCTAAAGAGAGACAAGCTTCCACAAGTTCTCTGAAACATTTACAGTGCTCTGAATTTAAGAAAAAAAATCCAGGGTCTGCAGTCATGGTTTAAATAGAAAAATAAAATCAGTTTGAAACAAGCTTCTCAATTTTTTTAGTTTTTTAAACTTAAACTCAAGGCTCTGAAAACCAGACACTACAGAGTTAAGGTGAACACCCACCTAACCTTAACTCTGCCCTCTGGAGCTGGCAATGGGAATAATCTGTGTGTGCTCAAGCTCTGTTCATTATATTATAAGTTGCTGTATTGAATAATGGAGGGATGAGTTGGAGAAGTTTGGCTGAGCTGTGAGATGAGGCAACCTGGGGGGGGGGTCCTTCCTCTCTGAGGGGGTTTCCTGAGTGCTCTGCCTGACCCTTGCCCCATGTGTGTGATAAATGCATAATTCCCCTGCGGGTTGCAGTTTAGCATCTCTAGAATGGTGGCAGTTATTCAAGCACATACTAGCTTGCATAACAGTAGCAGTGAAGCTTCAGCAGCAAAGGCTCTACAGCCCTGTCTGAGACCCTGGATACGTACTTGAGAATCTAGCTTGTGCTGCCACCCCTGCTAGGGTGGCTTCACTGCTATTGGTATTTGAGCTAACTAAATCAAAGCTAACTTGGGTATGTCAACTCATTCTTCAGTCACACCTGTTTGCAGTTGTCATAAACATACAGCTAAGAGTAACCTAGAATTCCTCCTTACCTGTAAGGGGTTAAAAAGCTCAAATAGCCTGGTTGGCACCTGACCAACAGGACCAATGGGGAAAGAAGATACTTTCAAATCTTGGGAGAGGGGAAGGTTTTGTTTGAGCTCTTTGTTTTGTGTGGGGGTTCTCTCTTGGGACTGAGAGGGGTCAGACAGAAATCCATCTTCTCCAACCCATCCCAATCCAAGTCTCCAATGTTGCAACCAATATAGGTAAACCAGGCAAGGTGAATTAGTTTATCTTTTGTTTTTCTTGTGAATTTTCCCTGTGCTAAGAGGGAGGTTTATTCCTGTTTTCTGTAACTTTAAGGTTTTGCCCAGAGGGGGATCCTCTGTGTTTTGAATCTGAATACCCTGTAAAGTATTTTCCATTCTGATTTTACAGAGATGATTTTTACCTTTCTTTTTTTTAAATAAAATCCTTCTTTTAAGAACCTGAGTGATTTTTCCATTGTTCCAAGACCCAGGAGTTTGTGTCTTTGATCATTTTGTAACCAATTGGTTAGGATATTATTCTCAAGCCTTCCCAGGAAAGGGGGTATAAGGGCTTGGGGGGATTGCTGGGGGAAGAGGAACTCCAATTGGTCTTTTTCCTTGGTTCTTTGTAAAATCACTTGGTGGTGGCAGCGTTACTTAAATCCAAGGTACAAGGGAGAATTTGTGCCTGGGGAGTTTTTAACGTAAGCTGGTAGAAATAAGCTTGGGGGGTCTTTCATGCGGGTTCTCACGTCTGTACCCTAGAGTTCAGAGTGGGGAGAGAACCCTGACAGCAGTGTAGACATACCCACAGCAGGGCAGGTCTTCCCCAGTTACTCGCTCTCTGCGGGGTCTGGAGGATCCCCTGAATACCAACGCACACAGAAGGCAGGAAGGGGGGTTAGAGCTCCACACATTGCAGCTGATAGGAGGAGACTGGAGAGGGACTCATAACTCCTGGAGGTGCAACATCCTCCAGCTCCCGGCTCATATGGGGAAATAGGGAGAGGGGCTCAGACTTCCTCCAGAGGGGCAGGCCCCCTCAAGATCTTGGCTCACCTATGAGGGGAAGGGAGTAAGGCTGGACCCACCAAAGGGGCATTGATGAATCAGTGCTGGAACTATGGTATAATAATCCCTCAGGTGGAAAAGTAGACACATGCCCAGCAATCATTCTCCCATATCTGCCCAGGGCATGTGTAATTTATTATCTTTCAGAAAACAGAGGCTCTTCTAAATTAGCAGGGTGAATTTCCCGAAGAGAAAAATAACCCTTGACCTTGGCAGATAGTACCAACATGCCTATGGATCATTTTTAGATTTCTGCTAACCTTAGGGTTCATGTTTACATTGCATGCGTGTAGCTCCGGTTCCACAGACAGCATGTCCCCTTGAGCCACACATGTAATGTGAAAATGGAAGGCTGGAAACCCTCTTGGCTAGTCTTTCTACATGTGTGCTTTTCAATTGCTTTGCTGTGTGAGTGTTTGGCATGTACTATTCTAGAGAGGTAAACTGTTTCTATAATAAATATTTCAACATTGCTTCCCAAAGGGGCAGCAGGTGACATGCACTAGCTGAGATAAATGTTGCATAACTGAGATCTGTTGGGGGAGGATCAGAGCCATGATTTGAGGCCCAGGGTTGTGTGTGTGGGTCTATTGGGGGGAATTGATAAACTATTGATATTGTGAAATGCTATTCTTTTCCAGGGCCTGTATTTCAGGAACCCCTGGCTCAAATGACCCAAAATTTAGACCACTAACCCTACTCCACATCCTCATGAGGCACAGCAAATTTCAAGACAATCTTTAAACAGAAAGGGCATCTGAACCTTTACTATAAGAAAGCCGATGCTGCACAATAATAAATTTAAAAAAAACATACTTCAGGGATCTTTCTATTAGCACACTCTTGATTGGATAGAAGTTTGAGGAAAAGTGGGAGGCACGATATTCAAGCAGGCCTTCCCTTGTTGCAGTGGGGGAACTTTGCATAGCCATATACTCCTAACTGGAGTTAGGTCGGGAGAAGAACAGAAGCCAATGAACTATGATGTCCAGGGGACTCCCAGAGCCATTCTCCCCTTGTTGCAGCGTGTGGACTCTATATGCATGCACACCTCATTGGATTGAACTCGGGGCAGGCTGGCACTTAGCACTGCATCTGCAAGGTTCTTTATCAGCCTTCACTAACCTCCACAACAACCGGGAGAATGGTAAATATTATCCCTATTTTAATAACAGGGAAGGTAAAGTGAAGAGAGGCGAAGAGGCTTACCCAAAACCAGATAGGAACTCTGCAGGAGATATACCATTCTTGAGACATTTACAAGTGCCTCAGTGGTTTATAATATCACTTGGCTGCAGCCCTCACTACCCACGATTTTAAAGAAGATAAAAAGCAGAGTATCTTTGTTGAAGAAAAAGGAGTATTTGTGGCATCTTAGAGACTAACCAATTTATTTGAGCATAAGCTTTTGTGAGCTACAGCTCACTTCATCGGATGCTCACGAAAGCTTATGCTCAAATAAATTGGTTAGTCTCTAAGGTGCCACAAGTCCTCCTTTTCTTTTTGCGCATACAGACTAACACGGCTGCTACTCTGAAACCTTTGTTGAAGGTTAGCTCAAACCCTTGGCTTGGGTCTTTCTAAGTAGTAGGGCCATATATTAAAGGTAGAAGCACCTTGTTAGAGAAACTCATAGGTGCGCTCTATAGCATAGTCACAAATAAAATTGTTTCTTAAGTTACATTCAATTCATGTTTATTAGAGCTGCTTAATACTTAGTATAAGATACTTTGTTTAAAATAAATACATCAAAAACCTGTAAGGAGTTTAGTATCATGGCAACGAGCCTGGTATAAAAACATAGAATGTGGTTTGTGATCCCTCTGTGGACTTACTTGAGATCATGGCAACCATGAATTAATTAGAAAATCCTAAAGTAATGTGACTACTGCAGCTGTTGATCACTCTTGTGTACAGAATATTTTGAATGTGGTCTGTACATATTTTAGCATAACCTGCAGTCTTCCTGCTCAAAATCCTGAGTTTAATTAATTAATTGTTTACTAGTTACTTCAGGATATCCTTTGCCTCTGATGATGACAATTCCTGAAGCAACCAATCGTTCCTGAAGCAGTTGAGTGGCCCAGTTGTGAGACCAGATCCTTCATTTTGGCATACAGTAAGGAAGGACTGAAGGTGGTGTAGAATGGATGGGAAAGGAGTACAGGGAATATGTATTGCAGATATGATTAGTTGCAAGTAGGCCCACTACAAGATGTTTCCACATCCACGGCAGTTTCCACGGTATGCATCCGATTAAGTGAGCTGTAGCTCACGAAAGCTCATGCTCAAATAAATTGGTTAGTCTCTAAGGTGCCACAAGTACTCCTTTTCTTTTTGCGAATACAGACTAACACAGCTGTTACTCTGAAACCTGTACAAGATGATAGTACAGCTGGTCTGCTTTCTTCTGAAAAGGCACTAAAATGTGTGCTTACTCTAGTGCAGAGACCATCCTGGCTTCCGAGTAGCAGTAATAAAGGAGCTCAGCTGCAGTGTCTTGTCCAGGGATTCTAGAAATCCATTTGCCACAGAAAAATGCAGAATTTACATTTTTACAGAGTATCTTTAGTTTTTGCATTTTGTAAAAAAATAAAAACATTAGCTATTAACTGAATTTTACTGAAAGTACTGGTGTCACTTACTCAGTACACACAAACTTCCCCCTTTGTGGTTGATTTTTGAATGCGCTTTAAATTTACATAGCTAAACATACTCCAATAAACTGCTTCTGGTGTATAGAGGTTACTCAGTGGTGTTTAGGAGTTCATGTTTTAATGCATCTCAAATTTCACTTCAACCTCCAGACATAATTAAAATTATGGAAAGATGCCGAACACTAAAAATCACCCCTTAACATTGTGTCACTGAGGTTGTAAAGGACAAATTTCACATTGATGGTGATATGCTTTTCTCTACTGTATGCAGCAAAGCTATAGATTATGTTTGAAGGCAGTCACTTGTAGAACACATGGAAAGCGCTAAACATAAACTGAATTAAAAGAAATGAAAACAAAAGACCTAAAACAGCGCAGCCATTGACAACATTAAAGAAACAATGCACTGTGACTGGATCATTCTATTAATTGTATTTTATTATGATTGATGGCACTGGTAGGTTTTGAACTAGCTTAACAATTGGAAATATATCAATAAAACATTGTGTTCAACCGATACCTATATATATTATGGCTAGAAAAACTAAAGTTCAGCATTTAATTTTAATTGTAGAAAAATGCAGATTTTAATGTTTTTTTATCTGAGAATTTTGGAGGTTTTATCACAGAAAACTGGGATCCCTGCCAATGTTCCCTCTATTTTTTGACAGGACGTGTGTGCAAAAACATTCTTCTGTGCAAATTTTTGTGTGCATAGTGTTTCGTTGTGTGCACGGGGTTTAGGATCTGTGTGCACACGGAAATGCGCACAGCTTAGAGGGAACAATGATGCCTGCTTATGTCCCACTACTGCTACCCCAACTTGTCACCTGGCTCTTCCTACTATCCATCTTGCCTCACACCAAGCTCCTACCTATATATCTCAAAATCTATCACAATACATTTCTAGGAGACTTGATTACTCAAAGGATTAGTAACAAGATATAAAATCTTGAACTTCTGGTCTAGCGTTCATGTCCAGTTCTGACAGTTGTGAATTAAACTACTTGATGGGTTTTGATAGTTTACACATGAGTGAGTGAGTGAGCGAGTGAGTGATTGGTCTCAGTCCAGGTCTCCATAGCCAAATGTCTACATTGCAAATACCCCCATTAGCACATGTACTGGTTGCTTCAATAGCAGAGGCCACGGATTGAATGGGCCTGAAGACTGAGCTGCTTCTCAACTTGGTGGTGATCCCTCTGGATTGACACTGGTGATAAAACATGGAGAAGTCATTCTTCATGGCACAGATTGTCTCTTTATTTATATATTACCCAGCACAATGGGGCACCAGATCAGGCTTTTGAGTGCTTTCAAAATACATTTTCTACTACTACTAATTCTCCACAGCTGTGAGGCTAGCAACTTGCCCTGGCACTTTGGTGTGCATCTTGCAGCTCTCAGTCCTGCCCTTTATGGTCTTATTCAGGAGGGAAATCCTGTGCCCAGGTAAGGGGTGCGTATCTCTTGCATGCAGAAGGACCCCACTCTGTGCCTCCACCACATCCAGGAAGAGATGAGCATGGAGCAAGGTGCAGTTGCACAGCTGGGGGGGAAATCAGCAGTCACTTAACCCCGCTCATCGTTGCTGCCTGCCCGATGGGAGGGTGCTCCAGTTGGACTACTGCAACTGCCCCTTGACCACTTGCTTGCGCCTTGTCACAGTGGGGGG